TTATTATACCAAATTTTATTTATATATTTTAACAATTTAAAAAAGTAGATCAGAGCTAAAAAAATGCAAAAATGTAGACAAATTTGCCTGTGTTGGCCTACAATCTAAGGGATAAGTGATATATGAAATGGAAAAATAAGACCTATACAGAGTGCCAGAATATTTTAAATTTACAGCAACAAATTTTTGTACTTCATAATAATTCACCAAATCAAATAAACATGGCTGATGCTAGATGTTTACTGGTATTAAAATAATAGCTTCTGCTTTTGCAAAATTTTCATCTTATATAGGCCAAGAACCACCTGATGATTACTTGAATAAAGTTATTCAATCATATGTATATCTTGAAGGGCATATGACAGTTCTTGAGAATGCAAATGCAAGAGATTTTGACAATATGGTCAAGTGTAATATTTTAAAATCTATGATGAGTGAAAAATATGTTTCAGTACCAGCAAATAATAATCTTGTAGTAGAAAATCCAGCTATAAATTCTCCAGATACATTATAGGCTTGGATGAGAGCAAAATATTAGTAAGAAACTATCAGAAATCAACAATCAGCTATTCAAAGATTGACTCAAAAAAGATATCAGCCCTACGATACTCCTGATATCTATGAAGCTAGAATTTGACTACTATTATTAGAAGTAGCAGACAATGATGTACAAGTTTTGGAATTTCTTAAAAGTTATTTAACAGGTAATTTTTATACTTGGATGAGAATTGTTAATCCTACAGACATTAATGCATTTTTCACTGAACTAAAAAATATGTGCCTAGAGCATGGACAAAATTTTAGTGAAAAATCTCAAAGGAATTAAGTCAAATTGCTAATCAAGTGCAAATCTTACCTAGTATAAATCCAGTATCTTATTTTCTACCACTAGTTACCCCAGCTCCTCAACACCAAGAGCATACAATTTCTTTAGAAGATATGCAAAAAGCAATCCAAAATGCACTGGCATAGCAAAAAACTGAATACTAATCTTTATTAGGAAAACAAAAAACTGATTTTTAATCACAAATGGCTAAGCAAACACAAGTACCTGCATCTCAAATTATTGAACTAGTTAGACAGCCAAGAGGTCCACCACCTTTATTACAAACAAAAGAAGGTATGAAAAATTTTCACTTATTACAATACTTAAATAATTTAGATATATTTAGTAGAGAAGATTTCAACAGAAAATATCCTATAAAGCCTTTTCAAAAACCTCATCAGGAATAATTATATTCATCAAATCAAAAGCTAGAATGGATAAAATAGAATTAAAAGTAGATAAAATCAGTCAAATGACATCTCAATTTAGGAAGATGATGCTTGATAACAAAAAACCCGTAGCTAAATCAAATTCAACATATCAATACTTACATCCTCTAATATCTTCCTAATCCTAATATGCATCTCCTAATTCAGATAATAATGAGAATGAAGAAGGTGGATATAATAAAGAAGAGAATAAATGGCATGCTTCATCTTAGTCAGAAAAAAAATCAGGTACTGGTAAATGAAAAAATGCTTTCAGAACTTAGTCAGTCTAAAACATATGATAAACTATTACCAAAGCTTTTACTAACAATGCATAAAATGTGTCAGTCTCATATAGTCTAGGAAAAAGAATCAAAATCAAATGAATGGTTTTTGTCATTGCAATACTTGCATTGTAATATAAATGATCTATTGATTACTAATTCCTTTTTAGATAACATAAGTGAATTTGGAAAAGTAAATGATGCAACAATTAATACCTTGAGGTGGAAAGCTGATAAGCCTTTTGACTTTGCTATAAAGGGTAATTCTAAACATATATTCGAATCATTAGGATAGTATACAGATGTGCCAATTAGAGTAAAAGACAAAGATAATAAGATTGTTACAGCTACTGAAAATTTTGCTTATATTAATAATGGTGAACCTGAACCAATGTTATGTTTAGGTATAACATGGATTCGAAAAGTTTAAAGTATTCTTAATCCAAATAAAAATCAATTTTGAATAAAGTTATATAGGAAGACTTACACTATTCTAACTTTTAGCAAGGCTACAGAGATTAATAAACTAGAGCAACAAGTTTTAGATATGTATAATGGTGAGAATTTAAAAAAAAATATAATTTACTTAAAAAGTGACTTATAAAAACTAAAGAGTAGCTTGATATGGCTCTAAATGCAGGTAAAATTCTTGCAGAAAGATGCTCTTAGCTTACTGAGACAAAGACAAGCATATAGGAGCTAATCTTTCAGTATCTTTTATTAATTTTTCAAGACCTGCTTTTCTTCTAGATGTATCAAACAAAGTTTGTGCATACTATAGTTCTTTGAACCTATCTATAAAAAAGGTATTTTTTCCTATTGCAGAGCTATCATTCTTCAAGCCTACTATATATGAATCAGATAAAACTTTCCTTTTTCAGTTAATCTTTTTTGTTGATATTTCCTTAGCTAGAATCTTCTTAGTTTGAGACTTATTTAATGTGAAACCTTCATTTGAATCAGGTAGTAATAAGAAATTATTTTGATTATCAAAACCTTGTTGAAAACATTCATTATATTCTCATATCTCATATATATGACAGGCACTAATATAAAATTTTTTAGCTATTTTTTTTTATGCATTTAAAATTTTTTCTCTCGAATCTCTAATCTCCTTAATATCAAACTTTGATAATTAGGTCACATTAGATCAATAGAAGGTTTAATAAAGATGATTGATTATTTTTAAGTTAGAATATATTATAAAAAAAAAAGTATTAATATTTTTCAAAACATATTGATGTTACTATAATATCAATATATATTGATAAGTATTGTTTCTTTTTTAGTAAGCATCTAATATATATCAATAAGTATTGTTTGTTTTTAGTAGGCATCGATATGTATTGTTTCCTTTTGGTAGATATTGAAACATATTAATAAATTTCATATATAAAGGTACCAGTATCTATTGATTTTCTTATATAAGTATTGATTTTTTAATGATTTATATTTATATTTACTTAGCTGAAGTATGTCTCGAATTCATACTTTATCTAATATAGATTAATGTTGAAAACTCAGAAGTATACCATCTAATCGATATCCACCTAGCTGAACAGAACATAAAAACCAGCTTGTTTGTGCAAATCAAGATTAAAAAATTGCTATAGAGGGTGGCAATTGACTTTCTAATAAATGCTCTGTCTTGGATAAAGACAATAAGCATATACAATGTAATCTAAAACAATTCAATAAAGATAAAGAGAAACTTTCCAAATACGCTTTCCAGCTTATAGATGAGGTTAAATGATTGCACTTAGAGTTAAATAATCTAACATTCCAGATTACTCACAAAGATATTTCTTTTAAAAAATCTAAGATTAAGATAAAAGATCTTCTGTCTAAGATAAAAATATTGAAAACAAAACTATCTTTAACTCAGAATAAATCAAAGAAAATTACAGCACTTCGGTTTATGAAAAAAATACTAGAAAGTAAGTTAAAATTAGCTCAAAAGGATGCATTCTCAACTTAGGAAGAGAAGAATCTAAGATCATATCTCTCAAGTCTGAATTAATTAATATAAAGAATGAACTAATAAATACAAAGAATAAATTAGCTTTAAAAATTAATAAAATTGAGTGTTTAGATGTTTTATGTTCTGCTTTGCAGAAAACAAAGGATATATTGGATCCTATAATTAGAAGAAATACAGAAAAAAATACACAGAGTGAGAAACAAAGTTTCATATCGAATTCTGAAGACACATTGGAGAAATCAGAGATTCAAGTCTATGCCTCATCTAAAAGTCTTGCAAAATATTTTAAAAATAAAAATAAGTTAGTAATAAAAGAAAATAAAACATTACCAATTATCACAAATAAGCAGAATCTGGAGTTATTGATTTAAAATATTACAATAGAAGGGGCAGTATGCACTGGTAAGGCTTTAGTTAATGATAAGTATCAAATTTCCCCTATTATTAAAATTGTTATTATTACAATAATAGTGATATTAATTATTTGGTATATATATAGTAATATTTTTTATCAAATCCCACCTTCTTGTTCTTTAAACTCGAAGCCAGATTATACTCATTATATGACTGCCTCTGGCAATTTGTTTTCTAGAATATATAAACCAACTATGAATGAACAAAATAAAGTAAATTATCAGGGAAAAGAAATTTTTTATCTAATTTATAAAAATCATAGTTATGGATTCCCAATCTATTATACAAAAAAACTGAAAAAAGAACTTTCACTTATAAAACTATTTCTTATAGATATAGACAAAGCTAATAAACACATTGCATCTCATTGTCAATCTTATCTAGCTAGTCCAACATGGCCCTTTAGAATACTAGTTATAGGAAAAAGTGGATCAGATAAGGCTAATATCTTAACAAATCTTTTTCTCAGTGATAAAGCTGAATACATATATAAAGAAAAAAAAGTAGTAGGAGATATATTTCTTGTGATGATTTAATAGTTTGTGGTTATTATCCTGACAAGCCAAAATAAGCATTTGTTAAATATATGTATGGCATAATTTCAAAAGACCCAAAAGTACCTTACTATGAAAATATATGATTTAGCTATATATTACTAGAAAAATCCTTAGTGTAAAAGCATTTTCATCTAAACTAAGCATAGCAATTGTTTTTGAGGATTTGTGTCTTGCTTCAGAACATATACAGAATTGAATTGGCCAATTTTTAGAAATAGGTGACATTGAAATATTTCATGTATATTTGTGGTACAGAAATATTATAGAATCACTACATTCATATGTGAAAATGCTAATTACTTAGTACTTTTTAATTCTGGTAGTTCATATTAAGATGTTTCTAAAATTATTCATAGATATACAGATGACATAAAAAATGCATTAATGGTTATTAACAGCTACTTACACAAAGGTGAATTTATTGTATTTGATCTAGATAGGCCTAAAAATGATCCACTTGCAATTTGGCTAAGGTTTAATACTTCACTAGATTTGCAAAAAGAAATAGAGTTACAGCAAATGCGCAAAATAAAAAACATATTATCTGCTGAACCCACTTCATAGATTTTTATTTCACATTGGTATTTTCTATTTCAGAAATTTTATAATATATTTCTTAATTGTGATCTCAAGAATAATATTATTGCAAAGCAATGAGGCTTTGCCTTTAGGAAAATGGTAGACAACTACCTATCTATATCTTTAAGAGTATCAGTAGAACTAGCACAGCCAAAAAATATTATATAAATAGTATAGGTATTTTGTACCTGCAAGGAATTAATAAATTGAATAAATACCTGTATACTATGCTTTTATTTCTAAAAGTTGTTTTTCAAATCTAACCTGCAATTGACTCTTTTTAGAATCTATTTAATTATATGGAATATAATATTCTTTATATTTTCTAATATAAATATTTAAAAGAATATTTAAATTACATTGTTTATATATTGTAATCTATTTAGTACATCATTGATCAAATTGTTCTCAAGTCTGAGAATTTTTCACTTTATGTCTTGTTAAACCTAGAAGTTTTTCATTATCTGAAGTACCATTATTTGGTAAACTGTTCTAAGCAAGTTGTGCATTTGATGGTTCTCTTTCTCTAAAATTCTCCAAAGTATTTGTATAACTCTTATACATCCAAATTCAGTTTGTGGTCTTAAGTATCTATAACTAGTTTGTAGTCTTGAGCATTCATAATCATAATAATCTTTTATTAAATTGAATTGACTTGCTTTTGAATCTAAATTAACATTGACATATATAAGTTTCATATAATGAAAACATATTGCAATACTATCTTTATATGGTTTACCTCTGCTGTAATTATATTTATTAAAATTCATATCTTGAATGTGTGAAGCATAAAGACAATACTAATGAAATATAGAATGTGAACCTTCTAAACCTATTAACTCTTAAAAAGTAATTCTAACATAACAACTCCAATAAATAGGTGTTTCTCTTTTAAAGATCATATTAATAAAATCATAAGGCTTCTTAGCATTGATAACTCTATTAAGAACATTATGTTTATCAGTTCTTGCAATCCTTTTATTTATATCATGTTCTGCTCTTGATATATTTAATGATTATATAAGATTTAAGTATATTTAGAAGTATTTTGACCTATCAGATTTGGTACAATATATATGATTAAAACCAGATTCATTTTTAAAACAAATTGGGTTATTAGATGAGTTGTGTATATTTGTCATATTTTGTGAATGATATATAAATGAAAATGGAAGAGATGCATATTGGGTTGTAGTAAGAATTGTAAACTTATATTAGCAGAATTATGTAAAAACCACATGTTTGGAGAAGACAAGAATTTATTTATTTATTTTTTAAATGTACATAATATATTTATATGTAATACAATAAAAATATATTACATTTTTACTAATTATTTATAAATCTGAAAGTGGATCTTCTGCCCTCAACTCATACCTAGCATGTATCAAAGAAATATAACCCCTTTTACAATCTATTAATAAAGAAGGAATTGTTATTTGCTTTTTTTTCAGCTTAAAAAATGTAGTTCTGGAATTCAATCCTTGAGCATTATTGAGATTTTGATGTTTAATGAAAAGAACATTATGCCCATCAGCATTTCTCTCAATCCCATCCTTCAGATTATTATATACATCATAGAATTTTTGTAGATTATAAAAAAAGGTATCATGTACAAAGTATACAATACTATGCTGAATATTTTTTGTAAGTGGAAAATTACTATGCAGTAGAAAACGTGAGGAAAACACTACAACTTGTCTAGACTGAAGTGGTACAATGATCTGAAGTTGAGGGAAACATAATTCTCCTTTCTCAAATTCTTCGAGAGTAACCAAACAGCATAAACTATTTGGTTTATCATGTTCATCTATACTTGTTGGCAAAATCCCAAACTATTATAAAATTAGTTTGTCTGTGCCCAAATCCCAAACTCTGGCCAAATTCATATCTCAAAAATTTAATTAATAATTCTTATTCAAACTAATATCAGATATTCTTATAGTTATATATAATATATTAGCAAAATTTCAATACTATTTTTTTGATTCAATTTATTATAAATAACAATTGTTTTTTTGAATTTGTCTAGGTTTTGCTATTTTGCTAGCAAGTATATGTTCATCCCAATAGTAATTGCTAGTTGTATTGTAATTAATAGTGATTGTCAGAAAGATTCTAAAAGGTCGAGGTGCAAAGAGTCCCTACACCAACTTCTCTAATTTTTCATATAGATTTCTATAGAATTTTCGTACAAATTTATTAACAGAGATTAATAATAGGCCAAGTTTGCAAAGTAAAGTGTTAACACATTCTTGATACATAACATTATAGAAACTTGCAATATTCAAACTAGTGAATAGAAAGAGGTTATTTCATGTATATGTACCAAAATGTTCTATGAAATTCTTCCAGAATTCATCGCTATAGTGGGAAGAGTTATTTAAGATATGAAAATAATAATAGTTTATAGCATTTATTGCTTGTATAACTGCCTTTGGATTATTAAATAATGCCAGATGTATTAAAGTTTGGCTATCCATATCAGTAACATATTCTGGCTTTACAATGTACTGAAACTGCACTAATCCTTTTAGTGATCGAAGATTACCTTATGCAGAAATTATCATTTGGATCTTTTTTTTTTGAGAGATACATAAGGTTATTATATTTGAAGAATTTTGTGATTCTATATAATTTCAAATTTCTATAGCATGTTTCAGTTTTTTCTATTTACATTGGAGATGCTGACGTACATTCCTTCTTGTGAGTGGTTCTTTCATCCCTAACTATTGTCCAAGATAAAGCCACAATTGTTTATTTAGATCTTTTGTTTTGAACTTTACTTGGGTAACATAATTGACTTTAATTATCACATTATTAATAAGTACTAGAAAATCAGGCAGGATCTTGAATAGCTCAACTCTGTTTACTAATACAGCTTCTCGAACTAATGTTTCTATTAATAATTTCTCTGCAAAAACTTTTTTTTAACTTTTAACTCCTTTTGACACTATGCGATCAGATGAGCCAAGCAAAATGCTCTTCTACTCTTTTTCAATATAAAATATTTTATCTTGTGTACATAACCTCCGAGTTGCATGTTGGGTTCAATGCTAATAATTAATAATACAAAAAGTAAAATTAATATTAAGCTTATTAATAGATTTGGATGAGTTTTTAGATTTATCCTCTTTTGTCTAATATTTTTATAGACTGGACTAACCACTCTAACTAATTATTGGGTTATTAAAAAAATAACTATGTGTCTGTTGAACTACAAATATACTCAGTAGAGGCCCTATCGCTTTTACTATAAAATAAAATTTTTTGCATATCTGAGTATATTCAATAATAGCTTGGAAAGGTTGACCAATCAACACAAAAACAATCCTAGTAGTGAGAAAAGAATTCGATAATTATAAATAATATATACCCAGTTCAGATCAAAAGTAATATCATTAATCATTAATGCTATGGTTGGTGTAATAGATAAATTGTAGTCTATTGGTAGGGTCAAAATTTGTTCTTTTCCAAGCCTACATTTTTTATTATAATAAGCATGACATGGCAACTTTTTGGTTGGTTTCTCTTGGGATATGTTAACAAGATTAGAAATTTTATTTTCATTTTTATGCTTCTCAATAGATTCTTGTATTGTTTATAAATTTAAAAAACATTCTCGATATATTACTAATGAGTAGAAATTTTTAGCGATATATATAGCAAAGCTTACAATGTTATAAAAAATAAATTATGAGGGTTTATGCTAGAAGGCACCCTTTTTATTAGAAAATACAATTATAACTAAAAGTATAGTTACTTCTAACACATGTTAATTTATAAATTTGCCAAATATTTTTTTATTATAGCATTATATGTTGCAAAACATAACTTGATGATTTAACACTTTGCAATTACAGAGTACACTTTTTAAAAAATAGTAATTCATCAAAACAATGATTAGCATATTGCTTTATTTAATGTTATAATAGAGTTTGTAATTTTCTAACAAATTGTTGTTTATCAAATTTGGCACCACAATTATTGGATATAGCAATTCAATCAACAATCACATGTTTTCTATATTTGGGATTATATTAATAACTTGTTGAGGCACATTTGGCTATATGGAGTACAGTAATTATTTTACATACTATATTTAAGTTGGATCTACAAATTTAGAATAACTTTGTTATTTATGCAATATAATCAAAATATGTTGATCAAACATCTAGCAGAAGTGTAAATACTGTACAAATATCTACAAACATAAATGTGTATTAATTTAGCACAACCACATTGATAATTATTCAAAAATAACAGCCATTTGTCACTTATTTTGCCATTGATCTATGCTAAAAAAAAATAAAATATGTATACATTATAACCTAGGCCAAAATAAAAGCAGACCCACAGGACTGTTAAGTTATATAATAGTATGACAAAGCTAAAATAGTGACATTATATTATTTGATATTCAGTTCAAATCCTTGACCAGCTTTAATAATCAATGGCCTGCATTAAATTTTATATAGTATCACTCTCTTGCAGAATCATTTTTCATAGTCAATTTTTGATTAACAGTTAATAACTACGTGTTCTAGAACCTTTTCCTTATCTTATATAAGATTCTGCGATAAGAATAGAACTTAAAAAGGTTATAAGAATAATATGTATAATGTTCTTAATCAGTAGTTTCATATGTTGTATAAACTTGAGATCTCAGCCATCTTGAGATTATCAGATTTAAATCCACCTTAAGCAATCGTCAAATCTAAAGAGGTTTAATTTCACCTAAAAAAATAATAAAATACATTTACTATTTGAAACTTATAACTGAGTAGAGTTGCTTTATGAAGATAAAAACTGATATTGGATTTGAATAACTTAATTAATAATGGAGTTTTCCTTCTGACAGGTTCTCAGATCTAATGAATATGAAGTATAAAAATAAGCAGACTTCTGCTCATAAGATAAGTTAGCAATAACATTATTTACAATAATTCACTTGTCTGTATATTTTTTTTAAATAATTTGTGTTATTTCATTTTACTTCAGCTATAGAACTAAATTTTTTTTCTTACTATGATTTTTTTTGTATTTAGATATGAAAAATGAGCAGTAATAAAAAAACTACTACCACTTCCAAGACCAACAATAGTAACACCCCCAAGACCAATGATAATAATGCCACCACTATGAGTAATAGTATTACCACTTCTACGACTAATGACAATAACCTTTTTGAGACCTATTATGTACCCCCAACACTACCCAATCCAAGACCTAACCAAAGGACATCTAATTCTAATCATCAACACAATAATAGGAGAAACAGATATGATAGAAGGTAACTTTTTATTAACACTCTTCATATATTTATGAGACTAAGGCTAAAACTCATTTCATCAGGCCATGTCTGTGCATTAAATTAGACAATTCAACCTATGACTCTAGAGAAGATGATGACTATAACATTGATGAAAGCAGATCCTTGGACAATTTTTTAAAAGAAAATTCAGAATGGTGTAAGGGAAATAATTTTAATGAGTATGAGAATCCTAGACAACAACAAGAAAGGCTAAATCAAAATTAATAAATAGTTTATATATATATATTGTTGTTCATTTGGTCAACTGTGATGTATTTTTTTTATTTATTTTTTTATATTTAAAGTGGCAATCTTGTCTGCATATCATTTATTAAGTAATATATGATTATATATAATATACATAGTACATCAACGAAAGTACAACTAGTCACACGTATAACTTT